GCCCATGGCTCCATTCTCATAGCCTTTGCGAAATACCTCATTGGGATTGGCCATGGTTGGTAATTTCTGAAAGCAGGCGATGGGTAAATGGGAGGGGTTCATTATACTACTCTCTCTGCTTCTGTACATGTTTATCATTATCCGTAACAAGGTTTTTAAGTTAAAAAGGATTTTTAGGGCAAGGATACTATTCTATATGATACTATCTATATGATACTATAATGGTTGATACATGGCACTATGCATTTGTCCAAACCCATAGAACATACGACAAGAGTGAATCCTATTGTAAGCTATGGACTTTGCTTGATAATGATGTGTCAGTGTAGGTTCCTCCATTATAACAAATGCACCTCTGTGGGATGTGGATGGTGCAGGAGGCTATGCACGTGTTGGGGGTTAGGACAGGGGTATATGAGAAGTCTCCGTACTTTTTGCTCAGTTTTGCTGTGAACCCAAAACTGCTCTAAATAATAAAGTCTATTAAGAAAAGCCCATAAACAAACAGCCTGCAAAGAGTAGAAGACACAGGTAACCTGGTACAGTGATTAGCTCCAAAAACATGTTCATTAGGGGAGAGAGGGAGCTTTTGTTTCAATTTCCCCCAATAAATCCATTCCTAACCTCGTCTGCCATGACTTGTGATTGTGCAAAAGTAATTTACCCATCCACCCCAGGGTTTAGCACATTTTTTCCCCTTAACATTATCACAGTTCACACTTCGTTTTGTCAAGAGAGGTTTTGCATTGTTTTTCTCTACCTTGGTGGACTAAAATCTGTCTATATCCTCGTGAAATCATTTCATTTATTCTTTTTTCACTTTATTGAATGAGGGCTTTCCCCCATCCTGAACTACCCAGCTTGTGTGTTCATTAAGTCAGTGATTCACAAAGCAATCTCCCAGCTAATTGGAAAATGCATTTAGTGAGCTGGACATTCCCCATCATCATCTTCCTTGAACTGGGCCCCATTTTTATTAGGTACTGAGCTGACATAGCTCAGGGTGGGTGCCACTTTAATTTTTTGGACATATTTAGATTAACTAAGTGACAGGGGCAAATTAGAAACTAAATGAACAAAATAAAGGAAACAGCCAGCTTGAGTTTAGTCCAGTATCCTAATTGATTCTTCTTTTTTTTCTGCCTATGGCTTACTTCAAGGGTCTTTGATGTGGTAACCGGACAAGGTCTCATCCCAGTGGCCCGTAGCTGGGTCAACTCTTTGTTATTTTGTTTGGTATTTAATCCTGGAGAATAATGTTCTGCTCTGGTATGTTGTTTAATCACTTCAAGATTACAGGTGTAGCAAATATTTTCCTAATGAAATAATCACTAACTTGACGTTCTGCTGCTGGGATAATACAGTGAGACTCCCTCCATCTGAATCTCCTAGAGTAGCTACACGGTCCCAAGCACTCCCCTACCTGCAATTTCCTTTAGGTGTATTTTAAATTGTTCCTTTTAGGCCTGTCCTCTCAAAATGTCGGGGCTTTAGGTGCTACTTGAAATCTTCAATCTCTTTTATAATAGCAAAGTTTTGAAACCTCAGAGTTCTGTTTCCATGTTCATGTTGAAACCCTGTAGGTGTCTCCTCAGCAGTTGCTATTTAGTCTTTCTACTTAATAGTTCGGTGAATGAAAACGTCGAGGAGACACTCATTTCCAGAATCCCTACTAGAAACCCGAAGCTTTACACGCTGACTTTGTATAACTCCTTCTGAAGTGAATTCGGGTGGCAGAACTGTGCAGGCCTAACGATTTCGAGGCGGCAGAAACACCTACAGTGACAGATAATTACAACTATTGCCATGCCTCTTGCTGTGCGTTTCCTGTCTGCTAGCTGCCTTCAAGATGAATCATATTCACTTTCACGATGACAACTTCTTTACCATGTTCCTGATTAAATTCTGTAATGCCGGTGGCCCCTTGGCAAGCTTGGTTCTTTCCTCACTAGCCTGTGTTCAGCCCCTTTAATCATGGCAGAAAAAAAGTTTTCTTCATGGTAGACAGGAAATAACGGAACACACAATCACAGTCTCAAATATCTCCCTGGAAATCGTTTCAAAACAACTCACCTCACCTCGTGGCACATTTATCCTTGCCTTTTCTTGTGAACCCCGCTACTCTTTGTGTATGAATCAGCCCACCGTCTAAGACCAGTTCAGGCCTCTCCAGCTCCTACAGCATTTGTGGGGTGTGCCAGGCACTTCAGCACTGAATTGGATCAAAGGCTATTTGAGGTGCCACCACACACTCAGATGTGGACTGTAAATCCACACAGAGCAAACACACAGCGTATGATCACTTGCCGGTCACCCAGTTCTTGTTGATTATATCGTGTCAAAATGCGGCGGGTTTGAATTAAAGGGGAGAACTTAAGTGAGTTGAATCGAGTATAAAAGGGAAAAATCCAACGGTTTTATGATTCTGGGGATCTACTTTGAAAACTCATTTGGGGGCGGTCCTTTTACAAAACTGGGAAGTTACACGCTGAGGAGGGGAGTATAACTACTGCCCAGGGGAGACGTTGGTTATGAATTTAGTCTTTCATATGAAATACTGTTACTGAGTCATCAAGAATTAACCCCTTCCAAGATTATAAAGGAATTAATTCTCCCATTCTGTTGTCTAGCACCTTGATGGTTTCATCTTTTTACATTTAGATTTTTGATCCCTTTGGAGTTTATCCGGGTGGAATGCATCAATCCAACTTCAATTTTTTTTTCTAGATGGCCATCCAGTTTTCATGCCATTTATTGACCAGTATATTTTTTTCTCCACTGTTTGCAGATGACACCTTTATCTAAATTCCTGGATATATTTGGGTCTATTTCTGTACTCCAATTCTTTTCCATTGGTTTGTTCACAGGCCAATGGCACATTATGGGAATTATTGGAGTTCTATAAAAGTTTTAATTTCTGGAAAAATTTCTCCCTTTACTCTTAAAGTTTTCCTGGCTATGCTATTTCTTCATATGAACTCTAGAGTCAACCTGTCTAGGTGAAAAAAAAAAAAACCCAAAACTTTGTGGTATTCTTTTTGGGATCATGTTAAATTTACGTAACTTAGAAAGATAGGAAATCTTTATGATGTTAAGACTACACATCCAAGAACATGCCAGATGTCTTTCCATTTGTTCAGGTCTAGTTTTGTGTTTCCCAGGAGTGTTTTAGTTTCCCTTATAACAGTTTTGGGACTTTAAGTTTAAACCTAGGTTTTTTAATTTAATTTTTTTTGCTATTGTAAATGGACTATTCTCTATATCTTCTAACTGGTGTTTGTATGCATGTGCGTATCTATGATTTGTTACCTTGGAGTGGGGTTTTCTAACTATGATTCAAAATCCAGAAGTCATAGAAGATTCATAAATTCAACGACTCCAGAATAAGTTTTGCATATGGTAAAGACACCATAAGCAAAGTCAAAGAAAAACGATAAACTGAAAGGAAATATTTGCAACTCATATCACAAAGAGCTCCTACAGCCAATAAGGAAAAAAACCACCCACCCACCAGAAAGCAGGGGGTGTGGGACCAAAGATGCGAATAAACTCTATGAAAAGATGGTCAACCTCACTTTTGAGTTAATAAAAATTAAAACTACACGGATATACCATTTCTCAGCTATCAGATAGGCAAAACACATAGCCAATGAGACTGTGGAATGCACTCTCATGCGTTACTGGTGGAACTAGTCAGGAACTGGTAAAATGAATTATGCTATAAGCCATGCAAAATATTATGCAGCTGTAATAAGAAGGAGGATGCTCTTTAACTACTGATATAGAAAGTTCTTCCTGGATATAGTGTTAAGTAGAAAAAAGCTATAGGCGCAGTACAGTATGTAGAACAGGTTACCATTTATATATAAAAGCATTAAAATAAGAATACATATTTGGAGAAACAAACGAAGTATATATAAACTCATAAAAGTGGTCACTTGTGGGTTTCCCTGGTGGCGCCGTGGTTGAGAGTCCGCCTGCCGATGCAGAGGACGCGGGTTCGTGCCCCGGTCCGGGAAGATCCCACGTGCCGCCGAGCGGCGGGGCCCGTGAGCCATGGCTGCTGAGCCTGCGCGTCCGGAGCCTGTGCTCCGCAACGAGACAGGCCACAGCAGTGAGAGGCCCGCGTACCGCAAAAACAAGAGTATACGTAAAAGCTTTTATTTTAGAAGCAAAGTACTGTTTCCTGCAAAACCCAATCTCAGGCATACATCTCGTGTTTACATATATTCCTTGAGAATACTACAGTAGCAGTGCATAATAAGTTCATTCTGTAAAAAGATCCGGAAGATGATTTTCAAGAGACTCAATGCATTGTGCTCTCAGATAAAAATCCTAAGTCAAAAGATCAGATACTATAACAAGAACAGTTAAAACTGCATATATATGTTAGAGATCAGAAGAAGCTATAAAGAAATGTACATAGTTGTGCTTTGGGGACTTTTTTGGTAAAGTTGTTTTAATAATAAATACAAACTTAAAAAATGTCTCAGTGACTGATAAAAAATAGACACAGATATTAAGGATGTTTTGTACTTGGCTTAGAGTTTAAAGGTGAAAAATCATCTCCACATAAACCACCTGGCATTGGTAGTCCCAATCTGGGCCAGTAGCTTACAGTCAGGCAAAGGGCTGGGGAGAAAAGATAAAGTGATTTTTCCTCCTATTAACATAAAGCATTATCCAGAGGTAAAGCCAGGTGTACCAGCTAACTAAACAAATGCCTACCTTCCTTCAGAATTCTTAGACCAAACAGAATGGTCACCCTACTTCTTGGTGGCTGGACCACAACCTATCCTGTAGTTCACCAGATGAATTAAATATGTCCTGTCTTCTGTGAGACCCTAAGATAAACATGATCCCTCAGTACTTTATGCTTTTTCATTTTTTTACCTTCTACACATTAACTGTAAAACTCTTATTTTTAGAAACACCATGGCGACTGTATATAATGATAGAGGACAAGGCATAATTTATATAGTAACATTGATGTTCATAGCTAGGAAATAAATGTAATTTTATTTTCAGGCTGGTCAGTTTGCTCTTTTAGGCCTTTAACTTTGAAGGATACATGACCTCAACAATCAAAGTGAATTAGAAAAAAGATGAGAAAATAACAAATGTCTTAATTAAAGTCTTTTGCACGGTCGGCTTAGATATAAAAAGAATTTCTTCAAAAAATTTCCTAAGTGTCACTCAGAAGCTTCCTTGCTGTCTGTAACAATGTGCTGGAGTCCTTGGAATAAAATTATAGAGTAATTTAAAATATATATTATACATTTGCAATGATTGTAAATCAATCAATAGTTTGTAGCATGTTAATGGGGTGAAATAAAGATAAAAGGCAGTCCACATTCATATTTTCAAGATGATAAATTTACTTCAGAAGTCAAGTGAATTCCTTGCTCATGTTCTAAGTATAGCCATTGTGATAAGACCTGAAAGAAAAAATTGGAGAACAGTTAAGGACATGCATTTTACAAAATCTTCCATTCAATAAATAATTGTTTACACCTCAATGAGCAAATAAAACACAGCACAAAGGCAGGCACTCTACCAAGAACTCAGAATCAACTTGAATTTAGCTGATACTATACAGAAGAAATCCAATTTACAGCAATAGGCTGTCATTGGATAGATTTAATGCGATCACTAATGTCTGGCCGTAGCTAATTTTTTAACCATCGAATGTATCTCTCGCTTTATCCAGTCATGACAACTATAATAATAGCAGATGTGGCATCTTAAAGTGTCAGTAAAGCCTGCTAATTTCATCAACAGAAACAATGCAAGCCTGTTTGTACCCCAGGGTCCTTGGGCCACAAAGAGACAGAAGCATAGTATTTCTGCTTAGCTTGTTTCTTCTGAAGAGACTCCATACATAAAACCATAAAAAAATTTAATAATATAAGAATATCCTCAGTCCTAAATGAGTGGTTTTTAAAAAGTGAGTGATAAAGTACAGAGAAGGAAAATAATCACATAGGACTGGAGCAGTCAGAGAAGATGCCCCAAAAGGTCAAGCTGAAGTAAGCCTAAAAGATGGACAGGAAAGATATAGAACAGTATGATGGGCAGGCACTTCAGGCGAGCGAATGGCAAGAACAAGGGCATGGAGGTAGGACCGGGGCTCCAGATGAGCTTTGTGGGGATCAATCAATAATCTAACGCACTCTAATCAAGAAGTTACATAGGGAAGCAGCTAGACAAGAGTAACTCAGAGAGGACTCAGAGTGTGGAGAGTCTTCAATGCCAAACTATGGAGTTATACTTCATTCTACGGATTATGGGGAATCACTGAAGGTTGTTGAGTAGGGAGTGGTGGTGGTGAAATCAACACAGGATGGAAATCAACCTGACAGTAATGTGATGGATGATTTGCGGGGGGAGATAATGGGGGTAAAGGGGAGAGATAGGAATAGGAGGGACACAGACAGAAGTCGGAGATAACTTAGAAGGCGATTTGGAAATTTTATAAAAGGGAGCACACCAAGGAATTCTGAGAGAGAATACTGAAAAGAGTTGGCACCTCAGAAGAGGTGAGAGGAGACGATGAGGAGAGTCATTCATCACCAGAACCCTAATCCTTGACACATGGTAGGTACTGAATGAATGTTTGTTCATTTGAACTAATTAACTATAAGGTTTCAAGCCAGGATGACTGAAAGAATGATTCAACAGGAAACAAGGGAACTGGTTTAAAGAGAAAGGGTCACAACATTAAACAAGGCTTCCCTGTTCATTTTTATCACTGTATGCGCTTTGTATGTTTCCCTAGGATCAATTCCTACAAGTAAAAATGCTGTATCATGGGATGTATGCATTTTACATTTTATACATGTTTTATACCACTGTAAATCAGCAAAAGGAAAATAACTGAAAAATACAGTATTAGGTACTAGATGAACAAGCTGAAAAGAACTAAATGTGAGCCAACAATTAAATCTTAAAATGCACTTTATCTCAACGTGCTTTTGAAGCACTCTGTTTTTCTTAAAAAAAAAAAAAAATCAAGCCACCACCATCATCTTACACACACATAAAGACTGCCACTACCACCTCCAGGCCATAAAAACTGCCTACACAGGGAGGGACAGAATAGGGGTGGGGCAGTGGGAAGTACAAACTATTGGGTGTAAGATAGGCTCAAGGATGTATTGTACAACACAGGGAATAGAGCCAATATTTTGTAATAACTGTAAATGGAAAGGAACCTTTAAAAACTGTATTAAAATTTTAAATAACTTTTTAAAAAAGAGAATCAACTGTAATCAATACACCTCGGGCAAGCCATTTAAAGATTCTGAGCCTTGATTCAGGTTAGGAATCCTTGCCTTACTGAAGTTTAATGTGAGTGTTTCCATAATTCTCATGTTTTTACAAATGTATTTTGCAAGTATTTAGGACACAGTTTAGTCCAGAAGAGATTTTTTGAAGAAAGAATGGAATAAATAAAAGAACAATGTATTATTCTTTTCAAGAAAACAGATTGCCTACACATATGCCCCAATGCACCTTTAAAACACTTACCTAAGATATAAGCAGCCACTAATTTTTGATTGACACTTAAGTGGAGGTAGAGAGGCACCAGCGATTCCACATCCCCCAGCGTGGGAAGCATCAGAGCTGCAATACACACCACTCCCAGGAAGACAGTTAGTAAACTAGGTCCTGAGGAGACAGTTCTGTTTTCTGTAAAAAGATAAAAATCCCTGCTATTTCTTTTTTTTTTGGCGGTACGCGGGCCTCTCACTGTGGTGGCCCCTCCCGTTGCGGGGCACAGGCTCCGGTCGCGCAGGCTCAGCGGCCATGGCTCACGGGCCCAGGCGCTCCGCGGCATGTGGGATCCTCCCGGACCGGGGCACGAACCCGTGTCCCCTGCATCGGCAGGCGAACGCTCAACCTCTGCGCCACCAGGGAAGCCCCCCGAGCATGCTTCTAAAAACAACTTACGACAAAAGTTCGTTCACACAGACTGGCCACCGCCCACCAGGATTCTGGTTTTGCCTAACTTCTCTGATTCTTTCTCCATCATTCCCATTTCGTGGGGCCTTATCTGTTGGACTTATCTGGAAGCCCATTACAGGTTGGAATGTGAGGTAGTGAGTTCCTATTGAAGAGGACAGTGGTCATCATCCTTTCCCCACTACCCCACCGGAATTCGTACAAAGTGTTCAAGCATGTATTATCTGTGCAGAGAATGGGCTAAAAATAGATAGAAATTGAAGTTCTGGCATTTTCTTCCCATACCCCCAATGCACTGCTTGTGTGTACTCCATTTTGGAGCCCACTGCAGTAGAGCTCCACTACCTTCTGGGAGTATCTTTGGTAGGTCTCGAGACAGGTTTGGTCCTAATACCTGCAGCATCCTGCTATCATTTTTCAAAGTGTTAAGGCGGCAAAAACGTTCTACTTTAATGTTATTAAAGCTGCCTATGAAAATTCTTGCCCTCCACTCTACCCCCATTTATAGCGTGGAAGTAAGAAAGCAGCAGAAACAATGTCAGGCAAATATTATGCTAAATGAAATAAATCCATCACAGAAGGACAAATACTGCATGATTCCGTTTATATGAGGAATCTAAAACAGTCAAAGTCATAGAATCAGAGAGCAGGATGGTGGTTGCCAGGGGCTGGGTTGCTAATCAATGGGCATAAAAATCTCAATTATACAAGATGAATAAGTTCTAGAGATCAGCTGTACAGCATTGTGCCTATAGTTACCAAGATTATATTGTACACGAACATTTGTTAAAAGAGTAGATATCATGTTGTATTCTTACCGCAATAAAATAAAATTTAAAAATATTTATTATTGGCCTGCTACTCTACAGTTCTGGTTGTATGTGTACAATATTCATACCCATATTTTTAAGAAACCCACCAGCATTTTCTGTCTTATGGCTTTTCCCACCACCCTTCCTTTCATTAAAAGGAATAGCCAACAGCAACACAATCTTTGTGTTTTATTAATGAAATAATGCTGTTCATTTTATTATTCGATGCAGCTTTTCTAAATTATTAATACCATAGCTGTTGTGTGAAGTTTAATTGAGCCTCACCAAAGACAGATAGGTGAAAACAAATTCAAATTTTATAGTGATTATTGCTTGAGATGAAACAATAGCATAAATGCCTCAAAAACAAGTCTGTCTTTTGCTAACGAATGTAGTACTTTATATTTGTTGCAAAGGTAAGTTTTCAAGGAAAATACTTATGACAACTACACTGTTCAATGCAAACCCACAGTAAAGATTATTTCAAGGAATTTTTACTATTTAGAGAAATTCCAAAAACATTCACATAAATGCTCGACATTTTTCAAAGTGGAAAGTTTTTCTGATACTACAGGGTTGTAAAAATTTTAGAGATATAGAAAACATAAAGCTTCCTCTGTAATCCCATCCTCCTAGAGATAACACTGTTAACAGCTTGGTATAGATCCTTTCAGATTTTATAAATGCCCATATAAACATGTAAAATGATTTTTTTACTTAAATGAGACCATACTATACATACTGTTCTATAACTTCTTTTCTCTCACTTGGAAATATATTCGAACCTCTTTCTATGTCCATATATAACTATCTACCATTCTATCAAATCCTTGTAAATGTCTGCCTGACACTCCATCTTATGAATATTCGTAATTTAATCAATCCCCTAAATGACTTTTAGGTCACTTTCAATTCTTTATTATTATAAACCATAATAAAGAACGTAGTTTTCTTAAGCCAGAGAGCACTGGCTCAAACCTGGCATAGACATAGCAGTTCATTAATAATGTAATTAAGACAACCCCTCTAAGATTCAGCTGAATCTTTTTAAAATAACTTTTTAATGACCTGGGCTTTAGTATTTTGTGAAAGTATGCTTTGTGGGTTTCTCTTCAATTTCTGTTAAATGAAAAAAAAAGAATATACACATATATTTTTTTCTGTTAAAAAAAGAATATATATATATATATATAATTGTATTTATGCACACAGACGAGCTCTAGAAAGTAACAACATGGAACACGTGTAAGCAGATCTGTTAAGTGTGTGGGATTATAGGTGCTGGTTACTTTTTAAAATTTGTTACTACTATATGTCTCTTTATATAATACATAACTTGAGAAGAAATTTCTCATTTGTACGGCCTTTCACCACATTTTAAAATCCAAATCTTTCACGATACAGCCGCCAACGATTTTTCCAGCTAAACTCACAGAGACCCTCACAACCTTGCGGTACCTGCGGGGAGTGGGGAGCTCTACTGTGTGCTGCTGCCCTTGCTCTAGACAGCAAGCAGCAGCCGTGGAAACCTTGTAAGACAAAGAAAACCAGCCCAGCTGCCCCTACCAGCTGAGAAGTCCAGCCTTCTTAGTGAGGCCCACGCACATATTTCCTGTGTAACTACTGTATGCCAGGCACTGTGCTGAACAAGTGATGAACTTGATGAACAAGACAAATAAGGTGTCTGCTTTCCTTGAGCTTCCTGACCAGGACGGCTTAGAGGTGTGTGGTTTTTTGTTTTTTTTTTTTCTCAAAACAGAGACCACCATGTGCTATGCCAATATCACCTATTCTATTCATCTACCTACTCCAATTTTACCATTAGAAGGATTCTCTAATGTACTTCGGATACAAAGGTTCGTTATAAAAATAAAATAATAAAATGCTCAATTAATACACATTTGTATTTTAGGATGATTTTCGCTTGGATTCTAACAATTTAAAAATAAAAGAAAAACTATACATATATATGAAACAGTAAACTTTTAACCCTTATGATTCTTCGGCATTAAATCAGTCTGTTAAATACCAAAATGATCTGTAACGACCACTTTACTTTAAATTATAAAATTAACACCCAAAACCAAATGCTCAAATGGCCTTTCTTGTTCTACAGGAGGCATTTTAAAAGAGGAATCTTGCATTTCATATCTATTTATAAGTCAACTTCACAGTATTGATTGGACATCGAAGTGACATTTGACAGAGATTCTCTTTCAGCTTTGGAACATGAAAAACTGGTCCTGTTGGTTAATAATAGTTGCTGAGAAGAAAACAATCTACTAGTTACTACCTAGTTCCTAGTCTTGGTATCACCAGAAAATCTGGGCACTCCTTGCATGGAATGAGAAGACACTTGGCTCCAGTAAATCAAAGAGGCATTACTCCGTGTCTTGTCGAGATAAACGTTCTAAGATGAACAAACTGATAGGGATCTATGAGTTAATGTAATGACAACTAGATGGTTTTTAATCCCTCATATATAATGTTGCAATTTCAAGGACAGCTGTTATCACATTCATATATCACGGTCAAAAAGTTTCCATGCTTTTCTATGGAAAATTTTATCTTCCTCCCCTTATAATAGGGTTGGAGGGAGATAATGAGAAGTTCAGAGGGAGGCGGAATGATGTCCAAGAGTTGGATATGAGGATCGTGTCGATGTTGAAAGAATATATCATAACACTCCTGAATATCTAAGCTGGAAGGAAATGAGGAATGGAGAGGGATTCAATTAATAGCCCACAGGGGATATTATAATCTACTTAGTTTAATTAACTTCAACTTTAATGAGATTTTTTTTTCAAAATAATATGAACAGCGCACCAAACTTGGCCTATTGCCAAACGCAATCTCTCTCCTTCGAATTAATTAAATGAGAAAGGATATAGGAAAGTCACAGAAACAAAAGTATAGAATTGCCAAATTGCGCTCGCATTATAAAGGGCAGGGCCTGCAGTCTCAGGTTTTATAGATTGAAAAGGCTCTGGCAACGGCTGCCCTCTCCTTATAACCTCATCTAGCGGGAGCTCTTCTCTCCGCTGAAAGGCCAGCTCTAGGCCTCTTGTTCGATTCTAGGTACCTGATCTCTTCGTTCACTTTTGAAGTAGTCGACTAGGTTTAGAGTGGCAGGTTATTGTTCTAGTAATTATCCTTTGCTCCCTGACTCTCTTAAAGTAAGAAACGTGTAAGACCTCAAAAGGGCTTTAAAAACAACCCAGACTACCTGGTTGAAACGACTGCTCAAAAAATAAACTTTCAGTTAAATGTTCCTTTATTCTTTTTTCCTCTTCTTCCTTTTGTTGTTCTTTGGCCGACGGGAGAAGGGTAGCCACGACCTCCTTCCTTCCTAAAGCCTTCCTCTGGCTTTGCTCGGAAACTTGGAGACGGAATTTGTCTATTACACCATAGTGACAGGATCGAACATCTCTATGACGAATCACACTGGAGACATTAAAAAAGAACAAATGCTGTTTAGGTTTCTGGGGGCCTGTCAAGCAGAATTCAGCAAGAGATTTCATACATATTAACTGACTATAACCAAATACTCAAGTACAGACATTTGCTAGTGATACTTTAAAAAAAATCACAGTATAACCCAAAAAGAAATGGGTAATTCTGAAATATCTGATGAATAAGAGTCATCTTAAGAATAATAAGTAAAGAAAAGTAAAAGAATGATAGGTAAAGAAAAGAATGATAGGTAAAGAAAATTCCCTTTAGCAATGACATTTTTTCCTGGCTATCGGTATACAGCAATATTCACTAAACAGGATATGTGAAGTTGTTTCTTCCCCACAAAAGTCTCATAAATTCCTATGGCCACTTATTTATTGTTCAAGTAACAAAATAACGAAACTCACCCTACACTTAAAATTGAAGTCCATGCACAAAGGCAAAAATAAGCAATTGAATAAGTAGGTAGCACAGTAAGACCAATGCAACAGAAGGCTTACAATGTATTTCTGTATTTCTCTGAAAAGAGTATATAAAGTACTATAAATTTTATGCAAGTTATCTGCAGTGCCATGTATTTTACTTCGTTCTTAATAGAGAACACAGAACAACTGAGTCAATGATAACACATTGATTAGGCAAGAGACTATATTTCTTTGCAATAGTCTGTGCTTATTACGTACTGAACGAAAATCAAAAGAAATGTCCTCAAAGATACATCATTTTATGGCTCTGAGATGATGAAAATGTATGCAAGAGAAAAGACTTCTGCTTCTCATTCTCAACGGAAGATTTAAACAAATACAGTTTACTTGGTAGCTTAAATTAAGGACTGGTCATTGGATCCATCTGGTCACCACTAGTTCTAAAGTGAAAATTAAATATGAACAGCTTGAACAAACAATCATTTATCTGACACTCTAAGACGAAGTTATCTGGAAGAGCTCAGATAACCTCTTCCAGATGAGTAGTTATACACTCGCTTCCTGTTTGTATAGACTAGCTTTCAGTTTTATTAGCTGAATCATTTCAGATGAGTTTATATGACCATTGTTCTGAGAGCATAGTATTATTAGTTCCACAAATGACACTATAACAGCAAGATGTTCCAAAGAGGGCTAAATTCCCTCTTATAGCTAGAGAAATTTAAAGGAATAAGTTAGAACTTTGCCACCATACATCTCCCTGCTATGAATAAAAGCACAACAATGAGGAAGTGTTCGTGGAAATATTAACACACACATCAGCTCCAACATAATGAATTATTATTTGGCCAACCTGTTTAGAATTTCTTAGAAACTTCTTAAAAAGTATGTTGCGAGACAAACTCTCAGCAAAAATTCAAAATATAATGAAGGTCTATGTGGGAGCAGCTTCAAGAAAAGATCTTTTTCAAGTTAAACACATAAATATTAACACACTGAAAACATGTTACCAGGAAGTGGTTGTGACTTACATATCCACACAACACTGAGGCTTTACTGCACCTGCAGCGTCAGCGACAACATACTTATTTGGAGTAGTACACAAAACTGAAAGAAAAAGTCACAATGGCCATTAGTGTTTTTTTTAAAAAATTAGTTTCTACAAGTCAAAAATTAGTAGGGAGTAGTTAAAATCCAGGAAATACACCTAGGAGACTCACCTTTGAACTTTAAGGCAAACTCATAGGGATTATACAGCGTCAGCACTTGCTTATGTGTTGACTGGTCATCTGCGTAAAATATCAGCTCTGTGGGAAACACAAAGACAGGAAGATTTCCTTCCACTAACTCTGGCTGTCTTTTTTGTTGATGCATTGGCACTGAATCCCCCTTGCTGCGGCTTCAGTTTTTACAGTCTCAAATCTATTCGGGGCTTTTCTTAAAATCAGTTAAAAACTCCAAAGCATTTTGGCAATCTGGAAAGAGAAAAGAAAAAGCAAGCTGAGTGATGCCTGTAACCATGAGCTAGCTGGGACTAGCATGGGTAGCATGCGTTATAACAGTCCCCAAATCATTTAAACATGCCTTTTGACTCTTCCGCTTGGCTTACTTACACAGCTTCTACCAAACTATGCAAAGAAACTTACACTTGCTCCTTTCACATTCAGGATATCAACCTATGATAAAGAAGGCTTCCTACTTAAAATTAATCACCCTTAAAAAGGTGAGATCAAAAGGATGTCACTCATTTAAAACCTCAGATTAAAAAAAAAGTTTTGTCACAACTGATTTTATGTGAGCCAATCAGAATTCTTAAAGATGAAAAAAAAAAAATAAAACAAAGTAAGCTCCCATGATTTACAAAGGAAAAACACGAGACTCACTTTTTTAACATTTATTTCAACAATGCTTTAGTTAGTGCCTTCTAGCAGCAGGGGTGGAAGAGTTCTCTTAATCGTTTTTTCTACCAAAACCCAAGACAATGAAAAATGTCTTGAAAAGAAGACGCATATCCAAACTTGCTAAGCAGTCCTTGGAGTTTTCCATGAAAATTCAGTCAGTAAGCAGGCCTTGGCATGCAAGTGGCACCGTGCCTCCCCTCCTACATCAAGTACACAGACTTCATGAGAGCTATTTTCTTCCAACTTCAGAGACCTTTTTGGATTCCTTCTGGAGTTGTTGAATATGTTCCAGAGAGTTGTAGCCTGTGTGATAAGTAATGTTTCTGTATTTGTCTCCTAATCTAATTTTGATCAACAACATTATTTAGCTAGCGCCCTAAGTGTGGCTTTTTAAAATAAAATGAGAAAGCTAAAACATACAGTCACAGAAAATGTCTGATTTTCACCCTGTAGATCACACCTACAAAATACAGTAGACCAAAATCCACTTAATACTTTGCACTCAGGTTCTCACACACTCAGAGAGAAATATAACAAATGATTACATTGTTTGGTTGTTTTTTATTATTATTATTGTGGTATGACTGCTTTGCAATGTTGTGTTAGTTTCTGTTGTACCATTGTTTGGTTTTTGTTTGTTAGTTTGTTTTGTTTTGTTTGCAGTTCGCGGGCCTCTCACTGCTGTGGCCTCTCCGGTTGCAGAGCACAGGCTCCGGACGCACAGCCCCAGCGGCCATGGCTCACGGGCCCAGCCGCTCCGCGGCATATGGGATCTTCACAGACCGGGGCACGAACCCGTGTCCCCTGCATCGGCAGGCGGACTCTCAACCACTGTGCCACCAGGGAAGCCCCATTGTTTGGTTTTTACCAGCTATCGGGCTCCGATTCTGATTGAGGCCTTGCCCACTTTTATCAAATAGGATACTGTATAATCATGTATGCAAATTTTTATTCTTTTCTCTCAACTGAACATTATAGGCCAGGAACTATGTCAAGAGCTGCAGAGAGATACAAAAATGAATAATGCACAGGCCCTGCCCTCCAGAAACTCAAGTATAATTGAGGAGACAAAATAAATATTTAAGCTACCTTTATTATAATGCATACCGTTGTATATAAAGCGCTAGGGAATTAGAAAACTGCATGAATAATTCTACCTGGAAGAGAGGCCAGAAGACAACATTTGGGGTGGCCCTTAAAGAAAAGAAGGATACGAGCTTCTGTGTTGGGGGAAGTAGGTAAGGAGGGCATTGAGACCTGGGGATCAGCATAAGGGAAGACACAGGAATGTGAAGGTAAGGGAGAACCTTGGTAAGGTCATCATCCACAGGCTGCCCCAGGTTCCACTTTCTATTTGTATACTTTATAGCATGCCTGTAGCCCATAACAGTGTTAGGTTGTTTCTTGTTTTTTGGGTTTTTATGACTAAGCTGAAAGCACCTATAGACATATTTATTAGTAATAATATTTTACATTTGTTTAATTCACAACAGATTACAAATTCTTTATTAATTACATATACTGAATGAACTGATCTATGTAAAGCCTTTAGCATTTGTTATAGGCAAGGCGCTGTTCTAAGTATTTGTTATTACTAAATAAGGAAGAGACCAAGGTAGATTAAAAAAAAATGCCAGCAGGCCTCTCCTAGTCCAGTATTCTTTCCACTATACCAAACTAACTGGCCATTTCAATAAAATAAAACTAAGGTTATTCTAAAAAGCATCTGATTAAATCATTTTAATTCTGAGTTTTTATTTGCCATGAATTTCTTTTCTTTCCTAAGAGCCATACATATTTCTATTTGGATAATGTCCTCTCAGAAGTTTGGCATGTTATTTTTTTCAATAGAAAATGATAAGCTCTACAATTACTTTCTTAGTAAGCTTGGCGGCCAGGAATAGAACATCCAAATTTGGCATCACTAAATAATATTCAACATCTTATTCTAAAACTCAGCTAGGGTGAGAATTTAGCTTATGATAAAAGGTGACATCTCAGGCTTCCCTGGTGGCGCAGTGGTTAAAAATCCGCCTGCCAATACAGGGGACACGGGTTTGATCCCTGGTCCGGGAAGATCCCACACGCCGTGGAGCAGCTAAGCCCATGTGCCACAACTACTGAGCCTGCGCTCTAGACCCCGTGAGCCACAACTACTGAGCCCGCGTGCCGCAACTACTGAAGCCCGCGCACCTAGAGCCCATGCTCCGCAACGAGAGAAGCCACCGCAATGAGAAGCCCACGCACTAGTGCACCGACGAGTGGCCCCCGCTCGCCACAACTAGAGAAAGCCCGTGTGCAGCAACGAAGACCCAAAGCAGACAAAATTTAAAAAAGATTTTTTTTAAAAGGTGGCATCTCTAATTCATGGAAGATAGTTCAGTCAATAAATGTTGATAAAACCAGGTATCCATCTAGAAACACAACTGAGTTTATCCCTCACTCCTTATAAAATTCCAGAATTTTATTATGGTAAATTCCAAATGGATCAAAGCTTTAAATGTATAAAAAAAAAACAAAAGCATAAAAGCACTAGAAATCATGGAAAATCTTTTTAATAATCTTAGGCTTTCTAACAACCAGGAACCAAAAACTATTAGTAAATTCAACTATATAAAAACTTTTAAAGTTCTGCATGGCAAAAAATTTTATAAGTAAAGCCAAAAAAACATGTTCAATTCATATCATAGGCAATGTCTAATTGCCCTACTATATATAGAGGACCTCCAAATCATTAAAAAAGACAACTCAATATAAAAATGAGCAAACACTATAATATTTTATAGAAAAGGACATACAACTTGTTTTTAAACTTACAAAAGGATGTGTAAGCTCACTCACAAGAGAAATACAAGCTAAAGCTATACTTGAAATACATGTTTTTACCTGTCACATTGGCAAAAATCAAAAATTTTGATAGTACATGGTGGGAGCAATCAGGCATGTTCTTACATTGCTGGCGGCGATATAAATATAAGTTGGTACAACCACTATACCTGCCAAAATTGAATGCACCTAACCCTCAGATCTAGATATTCTACTTCTAGGAATTTCTCAGGCACAAATATTCCCCTCGTGTGAAATCATATATGTGACAGGGCTTTTTTTTTTTTTTTTTTTTTTTTGCAGCACTGAGGATTAATAAAATAATTTGCAAACGATTAGAAACGTCCCAACTGGCCATTAATAGGGGATTCATTAAGTAAAGTACGATATAGCCAGTCGTTGGGATACCAGCTCTCTGTCAAGAAGAAAGAGGAAGCTCTTTGTGTGGTGTGGATATGGACTGATCTTCAAATGCAGTATTAAGTGAGAAAAGCAAGGTGCAATGCAGAGAGTAGGGTATGCTACCATTTGTGTAGAAAAGGAAGATAAAAGACTATGTAAACCTATTTTCTTGGGTATGTTGGGTAAAATATCTTTGGAAGGACAGCCAGGGCTGCCCCTGGAAAGACAAACTGAATGGCTGGGGACAGGGGTGAGAGGGGAGTTTTCTCTTGATACCCTTTTAAATCTTTTGAGTTCTGAAACCCATGAAGACCTAATTCAAAACTAAAAAAAAAAAAAAAAATGTTGACTCAAACAACAACTCTACTAGAGGCTAATTTGAAAAGGGTCCCAGTTTTTTTTAACTTTTATGTTTATTTTATTTTTTTGGCTGTGCCACATGGCATGCAGGATCTTAGTTCCCTGACCAGGGGTCGAACCCATGTCCCCTGCAGTGGAAGCACAGAGTGTTAACCACTGGACCACCAGGGAAGTTCCAAAAAGGTGCCAGCTTTGAAACATAAGGAGTTTAGAAACAATGTGTGAAAAATCTGTTGATTGCATTTTCCATTTATGATCTTTTAATAACATTGAAAACCTTAAACTATGTGTTAAATAGAATTATTTTTTAATTATTTAAAATAATTTTATATGCAACAGAAACCCATTACAATGGGAAGAACCAAGATTTATTTAAGATGACTTGAAAACTTAGGAAAATGTAACACTTTCTTACAAAGGAGTATGAGATGGTTTATAAATCTGGCTGGGGAGTCAAAATTAAACACACAGAACAAGTGCTAAACTCTTGCTTCTAACCTCAGGAAGTTAGTTGGCATAGGTCAGAGTAGAAATTTTACTAGCTTTCAATGATGGCTTAGTAGAAATTCTTATTTTTGAATTTTGAAGCTTTCTCTTTATGAGTTGGATATTTTCCCATGAATTGTGAATAGGCTGTCTGTGCCCTAGTCACCATCTTAAAAGTGCTGAATCATTTTTGAGCAGTTTACTATCTCTTTTCGAATCTGTGTTCCCATTTCTCACTTATCTTGGCTAAGATATAAATTGCCTCCCAAACTCCAACCAGAGGAGATTAGGGAGAAATTAGCACTAGGTCGCCAGTGCAATATTACAGACTCTGCCAACAAACATGATGGAGCATGACACCTGCCTTTAATTGATGGTTTTCCGGAGACTAACACTTTCTCTTTGCTCTAGTCAATACTGCAAAATGATAGAGTGCAAAAATTCTGGGGAGAGATTATACACTAAGCCGGTAAAACCTCACTGTGAATCAGTTAATAAGG